AGGGGGATGGGCAGCTATAGTTTCCTGCCCTGCTAATTGCCTGACTTTTTTTTTTTTTAAAGCTGGGTGTCTCTATGCAGTTCGGGCCAGCCCCGTGCTCACTTTGTAGCCCCCAGGTTGGTCTTGAGCTTTCAGTGATCCTCTTGACTCTACCTCCCAAGTGCTGGGATTACTGGCGTGTGCCACCATGACCAGTTCCTGGCGTCGTTTCTGTTTATGCATCCCCCACAATATTCCCTTTTCTTCACACTGATCTGTGGCTCTCTTAGGCTCACGGACTCTTCCACGGTCTAGTCTGCTAGTGAGTTGTAAGTTCCGCCAGTGAGCTGTTTTCCAGATTTTCCATTCTAAAGCATTGAATTTTCTTGTTGGTACCCCTCTGCTGAAAACTTCACACATATTTAGTCATTTCAAGTGTGATTTTCTTGACCTCATATAATATAGTTATAACATCATTAAAGCTGCACGACAATTCCAACATCTGGGTCATCTCAGGACTGACATGTTATCTTGTTTTGCCTGAGAAATATCAGATTATCAAGACTTTTGTATGTTACATCACATAATTTTGGACTGTACCTGGAACACTGCCATTGGACAAAGTTGCTTTTTTAGCAAGTAGCCAGCACTGAGGAAGGTGAGGCAGGACCTTTGTGAGTTTGAGACCACCCTGAGCTACAAAGTGAGGTCAAGGCCAGCTTGACCTGCATAGTGAGACCCTGACTCAAAAAGACAGAGAGAAAAAAAAAAAAAAAAAGGAGACGACGACAATAAAAAGCAAGCAGCCAGCCTGGTTGATTCAGCCAGCAAGCTGTGCTGGTTTTGTGTGGGTGAGGTCAAACTCCCAGTCTGATTCTCAAAGTCATTCTCTGTTGGTTTGTGTCCATTCCGTTCATGAACCAAAGATCCTCATGGGTTCACACAGAGAACGAGAGTAAGTTGCGCCTTTCCCAGCTCTGGGATTCTCTTCTAGCTCTCCCCTTTGAGCTCTCAAAAAGATCTTTTCCTGGCCTGCAAGCGTTTTTATTTTCCTCCACTTCTATTGCCTGGCTGTGCTGTGGTCGGCACTGCACTCCTCCGCCACAGAGCACACCTGCAGGCGAAGCCTTGCGCTCCAAGGAAGCCTCGCGCTGGGAGCAAGCCCGCCGTTGTGTCTCATCACCTGGGGAAGCCCCTGTGTGGCTGCCTCTGTGTGCTGGTGGCTTCTCGTGCTCTACTACTCTGCATCGCCAAGTAGTTCTTCCTTGGTCCAGGGAGTTTAGTTATAATTATTGGGCAGGACAGACAATACCTGGCCTATGCTACCATTGTGACCTTGGAACCCTGCTTGGTTTTTTAAACATTGAATGCTTTTACCTGGAATATAAAAACATAAAAATGTACATACTTATGGGGTAGCAGGTGATGCTTCAATTCATGTGTACAAGCTGGGCTTGGTGCCGCACGCGTATAATCTCAGCACTTGGGAGGCTGAGGCAGGAGGATTGTTGTGAGCTTGAGACCAGCCTGGGCTACAAAGTGAGCTCAAGGCCAGCCTGAACTGCAGAGTGACACACACACACACACACACACACACACACACACACACACATTATATAACGCGTAAATCAAGTTAAGCTTACCTAGCTCCTCTTCTGGAGTCTTCCTTCCCATTTGCGGATTTGCTTCAATTTCCTTGTCTTAGGACCCAAACTTAGAAGAGCAGCAGTACGTATACCTCTTGCAATTTTGGGCCTCATTTTTTGTGGGCTAAAATATAATTATGGGCATTAACCTCATAATAGCAAGTGTTCAAAAAACACATGGTTATTTCTAGTCATATATTTCTTACAAGGCTATTTTTGATTAAGATTATTAGAATAAAATAAGAATTAAAATGTTAAGAGCTTGATGATGAGTTTATCTGGAAACTGATTCTTGACAGAAATATCAGAAAGGAACAGCATTTTGCTGGGTGTGAGGAACCGAACACTCCAGGATTCTGAGGCAGGAGAATCACAAATTTAAACCCAGCCTCAGGAACTTGGCTAGACTCTACCTTAAAGGTAAAAATGAATAAATAAAGGGGTCGGTGGGGATGATGAGGTTTAATGCAAACGCACTCGATCTACTACCCAGCACTACGTTTAAAAACAGGATTTAGAAAGGCAAAGTATTCCACAGCAGGTTCACAGCCCTTGGGATTGTGGCCCTAGCTCTTCTCAGAAGACAGCTATGGGAGTCATCAAAACAGGAAGTCACAGGACTATACGGCAGTGTACAGTTATGGCTCTTAGAAAATATATTAAGGATGAAATGACCCATTATACTGGTTGATACATTGTGTCAACTTGAGAAGTTTAGAAGTTTAGGTGACTCAGCCGAGAGCCAAGATTCTTAGCTTGTAAACATCCACATTCTGTGCAAGAGGAGGGCACGGACATTGTGTGAGCTCTACACCCCCAGCCCTAGGGTAGCTTGTTTATGACAAGAGGAGGGGACAGAGGCTGGCTAGAGGCCACAGCTGCTGCCCTTCCCTTAGCGCTCCACTGTTTTCTGCTCTCTGCCATGTGCCACTCTGCCGGGGAGCCAGCCAAATATAGATTAAAACCTCCACAAACTGAATAACCCTTTCTTTCCTTAATTTTGGGTGTCAGGTATTTTGTCCCTGCAATGAGTGAAAAATAACTGAGACAAAATTTGGTACCAGGAGTAAGGTCATTGTTGTGACTACACCTGACAATGTGGATTATGAGCTTTTGGGAATGGCTTATGGAAGAGATAAGAAAGGTTTGGAAAGGTTGCCTACTAGCAAAGAGCTGGAATGCCTTCAGCTCTTGTGTATGGGAGATTCTGGTCAGAGCTCAGAAGACCAGAATGCTGATAGCCTGCCTGTAAAGACCAGGCTGGGGAGGTTTCTGCTGGGAAGGACTGCAATGGTCATTGGACTGTGGATGATTTGTGGTATGGCTTGATAAAAATTTGTCTGCATTTTGCTCCTGTCCAGAGACTTTGCCTAAGACTGAGATTTAGTGGACTAGTTATTCTTGCCAAAGAAGTCTCAAGGCAGCTGAATGTTGAGGCAGTGGCATGGCTACTGCTGGGGGCTTTTAATCAGATTTATTTTGAGAACAAAGAGAAAACAGCCCATTAAGATGATTTAAAATGTTGTGAGTTTGGCCAAAAAACAAACAAACAAACAAACAAAAAACACCAGGAAGGCTGTGGACTGCAAAGATAAAGCTGAGATCTCCATTGCCGGAAAAAACATGAGACTAGAAATGGTGTCCTGAGGGCATCACAGGAGGTGGCACGTTCTCTCACTTTGCAGCCTCAGAATCACAAGGGCGAGGGACTTTGCTTTGAGGACACAGCTGCAGAGCACCATCTTCCAGAATGGTGCCAGCACAGAAAATCTGCTCCTCAAAATCAAGGCTGGAGTGCTCAGCCATCCAGGCACTCCACCCCTACAGCCAAGAGAGAAAGCAAGCCTGGCTACTGCTTGAGCTGGCAGCAGACCTTGGTATCACCCACATGGCATTGGTTTTAGGGGAATTCAAAATGCAAGAGTGCTGAGGGCTGGCCAGATAGCTCAGCGGATTAAAGTACCGGCAAGCAGGCACAGGGGCTGGGGTTTGATCCTAGGGCCCGCTCCTGGGGCATGCTGAGACAGCAATTGAGACTGGGCGTGGTGGCATGTGCCTGTAACCCCAGCTCTTGGGGGGCTGTAAACAGGAGGATCACTACAGACCCGATCTAGTAGTGAGACCCTGAACACCCTGTAGACCCTTCACTGAAATACAAAAATACAAAAATAAAAGAGGCAAGAGTTCTGAAGTTAAACTTCCACCTGGATTTCAAAAGGCCTGGGAGGCCAGGCAACGTATCCTTGCGAGGGCAATGCACAGAACTGTAAGATGCCTATTCAGTAAAACCCCCAAAAGTTTAGAAATGTCAAAAACATAGATTAGTATCTAGAAAATGCTACAAGGAGAGAGGAAAGCCAGCCCCCGGCAAAAGCCACGGGAACCACCAACAAAGGCCAGGAGGGGCGCACCGTATCAGGCCTTTGGAGCTCACATCTCATCACAGCTTGCTCCAGATGGTCCACATGAAACTATAGGGCTTAGTTTGCCCTTCTGGATTTTGGACTTGTTTTGGTTCCAATGGTTTGTATCCTGCTGTGCATACCTTGTGGAATGATATGCTTATCTTGTGCCTTTAAATGTTGAAAGTGTTTAACTTCTCATTTGTACAGGGGCTCACGGCTAAGAGTTAGCCTCAGATCACAAAAACTTGGGATGTGGACTTCTCAGGATTGCTGACACTGTGAGGACTCTGGCAACTCTAAGAGACAGACCACAGTGCCTTTTGCATTAAGGGATGTACATGAGTCTTGGGGGGGGGGTGCCCAGGGACAAAACGTCACGGTTCTAATGTAACACAATGTTCAGGTTGTAAAATGTTAATGAGCACATCTGTGTACCTAAGACCTGGTACAGGGAAATGTCTGGTTGACAAGGGGTGGATTGTACTGTTGATGCATTGTGTCAACTTGAGAAGGTCAGAAGTTTAAGTGACTCAGCAGAGCTCCAGGGTTCTTAGTTTATAAGCATTATCATCCTGTGCAAGAGGAGGGCACCGACACTGTGTGAGGTCTACACCCCCAGCCCAGAGTATTTTGTTTATAAGGAGGGACGAGAGGCTGGCTAGACTCCGCAGCTGCTGCCCTTCCCTTTGTCTCCGCTGTTTTCTGCCCTCTGCGATGTGCCACTCTGCCTGGGGGCCAGCCAAATGTGGACTAAAACCTCCACAAACTGTGAGTTAAGTAAAATAAAGCTTTCCTTCCTTAATTTTGGGTGGTGGTAACAAGTAAAAAATAACAGACACCCATATTTCCTTTCACATTTTTTACTGAAATTGAGAAAAGAAAAACTACGATTCTCATTCGTTTTCTATAACAAAGATTAGAATTAGTAAAGAAGAGATCCTGAATTTGTTCCTCCCACTTGCCTTGCCAGGTGGCTCAGGACCTCGCGTGGATCCACTGAGGATCTCAAATCGGTCACAGATCAGCTGGCAGCGTTTGGCCCGATCCGGTCGGTCACCACCTGTGGACGCCAGAGTGCCCTCGTGGTATTCAGGGACATCGAGGCCGCCTGCAAGGCTGTGAGCGCTTTCCACGGCAAGGCCCGGGGCTCCGCGCTGCAGTGCTCCTGGCGGCAGGGATTCATGTCGAAGGACGTAAGTGGCGTCACCTCAGCCCTCGGTGCACTGTTAGGGAAGTTCTATTCACGAGGACTCTCAGTGCAGCAGGACACAGCTGGCAAGGGGGCCCTTTAAAGGCGCAGCGAAGCCGACCTCGCTTCAGAGCAGAGCCGGCAGCACTCCCCTTCCACGGCGCTGCACGCGCTGTCGCGGCGCTCACAGTTTCCCTTTCTTGGAGAAGAAAGTCTGGATGGCGTTCACGCACTCCTCGGAGAGCCACCTTTCCTGCAGCACTCTGCACTCCTCGGCATTGACCGCGTGCAGAGTTTCCTTTCCGAAGCTTCTGAGTAGCTGCTTTCCGATTCTCATTGCCTGATGGGGGCCAAAGCAGGGTTACGAGCGGTTCTATGCGCGGCTGGGGGCATTCGCACTCTTGCTTCTCCAGGGCCCACGAACTCGCCCTGTCGTGTCCTCACACACGTATAATTAACGACAGAGCTCCCTAGCCTTCGATGTCTATAGCAATCCTGTCACTAGGGATACACGTCCAAAATGCCCCAGGCAGAATAAAGGCTTCTGGTTCTACCACCACATTTTTTCCCCCCTGTACCAGGGATTGAACTTAGGACCTTGCGCTTGCAAGACAAGTGCTTAAGCCACTGAGCTATCGCCCTGGCCTTATGACCACATTTTGAATACTAAGGACGCATGCATAAGGCCAGCCAGCCTCTAATTACCATAAATAAAAATAAAAGTGCTGTGCAGTATGGCTCTCAAGCGCAGCCCACCTTTCTGGCTTCTCTCCTGAATTTCAAAACAGAAGTACTCAGCAAACACTGCTGATCATCTGCTACAAGTTATCCCCACAGAGAACTGCCCTTCTGCCTATGATAGAAATAAATGACCATTTGATAAGTTTTATAAAAATCAGCATTTCCAACGTTATTATAGTTATTTCAAATCTCATATTTAGATGTGCTTAATGGTCATACGCAATATGTCTTTCTTCTGTTTTTTTCTTGAGACAGAGTCTCACTATATAATTTAAGCTGGCCTCAAATTCACAATGATCCTCCTGCCTCTGCCTCTTAAGTGTTAGGATTACAGGTGTGCACTACTAGGCCTGGCTCATCTTGTCTTTTTTTACAATTCATTCTGCTAAGGCAGATACACTGCCTCTTAGGAAATCTTTTCCACGGTTCCCACAAGTAGAAGGTCGATCTGTACTGACTTTTGGAGGGTTCTTGGCGTACGCAGTCAACCTGGCCCAGGCTTCTTTCTGGAAAGTGTTGTGGGGAAAAACTTCTGTAACAAGGCCTTGAGCACATGCCTCTCTTGCTGTGATCTTCTTCCCAAAAATAAGCATCTCAGCTGCCTGAAGAGAAAAGCAGGGTTAAGGCACTAACTTCAAGGCTTCTGTTAACTTTGGAATTGACTGCTTTCGGGAGATGCAGTTGTAGTCATCTGAGCTTGCTTGTCTGTCTGCCTGTCTTTTCTCTTTTCCGGAACAGGGGCTCACTGTGTAGTTTAGGCTGGTCTTGAATGCTGATGTAGCCCAGGATGGTATCGAACTCATGGTGATCCTGCCTTAGCCTCCTGAGTGCTGGGATTACAGGCCTGGCCTAAGGGTATCTGTATTTCATTCTAAGGAGTACCTGAGGAGTTCAATGAACAGTTTCTAAATTGTCCTGAAGCCTTTGCACCCCCGGCCCACTGTCTACGGAGGGTGGGAAGGGCGCCCGAGAGGATGGGAGCCGGGGAAACTCGCCTGCCCCCCTACTCCCGCAGCCATGGTCTGCTGCAGGAGGGAAAAAGCAAACACACGGCTAAGGGGCAGAGTTAGAGATGGCCCCTCCTTGTCATTTGCTGTGGCTCCTTATGCAGTGACCTGAGCTCAGCAGACTGAGAAGATGGTGTGGTTCCGTGGCTCCTGCCACACAGCCATGGAGGTTGAGGTCCTTGCTTCCTGCAGGGCAGTGAGTACCAGACACCCAGCAGAAAGAACGGTGCTGCTGTCTGGGGACCTGGAGAGATTTCTAATTTCTTTTTTTTGGTGGTGGTGGGGTACTGGGGATTAAACTCAGGACCTTGTGCTTGCCACGCAGGCACTTACGCCGCTGAGCTGTCTCCCCAGCCTGAGATTTCTAATTTCCATTGACTGGATGCTTCCTACAGCCTACTTTCTCTGTACGCAAAACTCTTGCATGTGGAGATCAAAAACTGCCTTCTGCCTTTGTCCACCTTAGCAAGACAGAGAGTGCAGAGAGTCACACTGCAGGCAGACGGGATGTTCCACTGTAGTTCTAAGCGTCTAGTAGTTACCTTGGCTGGGCCCATTATCTTTGGGAAAGTGTATGAAGAGCATCCTTCCGGGGTAATGCCAAGACTGCTGAATGGAGTGTGGAATGTTGCCTGTTTGCAGTGAGAAGAGAAAGAGAGCCAGGTGTTAATGTATGATTTTTAAAAATCACCATTTGATCATAACTTCAAAAACTCAGTTGAGATGGTGTGGCATAGTGCACATGCAAATTTGTTCTTAACGTGTCCGTTCATTGAGTTTTAACAGCTTGGGTTATGCAGCCACCACGAGACACAGAGCTCTTCCATGGCCCACAGAGCTCTCTCCCAGTCCCGTGGCAAGCTGTTCCTTCCCAACATCCCCATGCCATTGGCCTTCTGTCTCTGCCCTGCAGTCTGCCCATCTGCAGTGGCCTGCAGATGGAGCCCCGTTCCCTAGCCCTCTGGGCTGGCGTAGGTCGCTTGGCCTGAGGCTGCAGGCAGTCCGCACTCTAGCCAGTGAACAGCTGGCTCCCCGTGACTGCTGCTCAGGGACCCACGGTCTGGATGGCTCTGACCCACTCATCCACTTGCCTGTCAGGGCCACTGCAGTCTGCCTGTTTTGAGTGTCTCAGTTACTCTTCTCTCCTGCTGGGACAAATACCTGACACCCAAAATGAAGGAAGGAAAGGTTTATTTAGCTCCCAGTTACTGGAGGTTTCAGCCCATACTCAGCTGGCTCCAGGGCAGAGCGGCACATGACACAGAGTAGCCTTCACGGTGGTGCCAAAGAGGGAAGAGGAAAGGGAGGGCCAGCAGCTCAGGCAGCCAGCCAGCCTCTGTCCCCCCTTACACTGCAATGCACAGTACCCACCCAGGGCCAGGTGCAGCCCTCACACCTGCAGGCCCAGCACTGGATCCAGAATCCATCAGACTCGAGAAGCTGCCCCATGACTGCATGAGGCTCTGGGGCAACACCTAGACACAAACCGTAACGTTGAAATAAGCCTAGTCAAAAACCACCGAGTTTAACATATAGAATTCCTCTTTGCCAGTTATACTTTAATGGAGCTGAAAAAAAATTAAAATCTTTTCCAGATATTCTACAGCCCCAAAATGTTGTGGTGACATATGTGCAGGGCTCTGGGCGAACCTGCCTCAGTTTCTTGGGCACCAAGCTGGGAGTGGAACGGCTGCGCTGTGTGTGACGCATCTGCTTGACTCAGAAGCACTGCCAGGCAGCCGCACAGCGCAGCTCTCGCACCCACCGGTGGCGCAGCACAACCCGTCTGCTCCGCAGCCAAGCCAAACCATCACTAGAAGACTTGGTAGCGGCAGTGTTCTCTCACCGTGCCTGTCGGCTGATGATGGGAAACATCTTTTCATGCATTCATTGGCCACATGTCCACTTTCTGTGGTGAATGAACCATTAACATACTCTGCCCACTAGGCTTTCAGTTAGACCTGCTCGCCTATATTTAACACTTTTCCATGTTCTGGTAGTAAGTGCTTTCCCAGGTAAATATCACGAAGAGAACTGTGCCGCTCTGTGGCTTACCTTTCTACCCTTCTCCCAGCCCCGCACTGGGGGACGAACCCAGGGGTGTCCTCCAACTATGCTACACCCTAACCCTTTTCAGTTTGTGAGTCTGGCCTCAAATCTGTGGTCGTCCCGCTCAGCCTTCCAAGTGCTGCGGTGACAGGTGAAGCTGTACCTCATTTCAGGTCTGCCCTGAAACATCCTGCTCAGACGTCTCGGGTGTCCAGAAGCACCAGCTTGCACAGGCAGGTGGCTCATGGGGCGCCTCGGTGGGTGGCTGCCCTGGGGAGCCCATAGCCAGACATGCTGCTGAGAGGGGCGCCTCGCCCGAAGAGGCGGTCACTCCTCGGTGACCCGGGAGAGCGTCATCTTGTCCCCAGCGCCACTTCCTCTCTCTGCAGCCTGGCTGCCGCGGACTGGGTAGCTCTCCTCTGCTGCGCCATCTGTATTTTTGCCTTAAAGTTAGCCAGCTGTGGCCCGAACCCACAGAAACTACAAGCGCAAATAAAGCTCCTGTCCTGAGCTGTGGTATTAGGTGGGTTGCCCCCGCCATGGGAGAGTGGC